CTTTCAGTAGCTGTCAGATTTCCCTTTTCACAATGGGCCAGAAAAGTTTTTGTGGTCACCGGTTGCTGTACTTCCTGTTAGAAAGTTGTAGATTCCTACCAGGTGGAGCCATTGATACATTTCACCTAAGGTGAGTCTGTGGGCTGACTTGCTTCTGTTTGGATTCCTGCCCATTTTGGCAGCTCCTGGACCTTCCTCTTCCCGTTTTTCCCCACCGATGACAAAATAAGGGAATTACTGCTACTGGAAACCACCAGGAACAGCAATTCACCCTAACCAGTTCCATTTTTGTTTCTTGGACGTGTGCGCATGCGGTGTTTGTCTGGCTGGCCTATGGCAGGTGCCAGGGGCAGTAAACTGACCCCTGGACCTCTGGAGTTTACTCACTGCCTGATTTTGCCCACTTTTGTCTCTGACTGCCAGTCGCTTTCAAGGGGGTCTCAGGTAGACTGAGGCCACTTCTTTGTCTGCTGCACAAAAGCTTTTCTGCAGAAGACGGCGGGACAGTGAGTTGCTGTTCCTCCTCTGTAGCTAAATGGTGTGGGTTCCTAATTCTTTGGATGTGTATGCAAGGGACTGTGCTGACTCTCAGAGCTGTTTTTCCCCCTTTGTGCTCAGAACAGGCCACTATAGCAATGGGGAAAGGTGAGGGGAAGAATTAAACTCGCCCCCTAAGACATGGCTGCTTCAGTCTTGCACTCCAGACAATACTACTTTTAAATAAGCTTTGCCACCCTTCTTCTCTTTAGCTGTTGGGTTGCTGCACTCAGGCCATCATAATAGTGCTTGTCATTCAGCACCCTGTCACCTAAAACATATTCCTTGAATTCGGAGGAACCTGGGGGGCTTTCAGCCTTTCCCATGTGCAGTGTGATGCCACCGAGTCTGTGGAGAAGCACCAGCTAGCCCTTGGCTGAGGAGCCTTTTGGAATATGGAGGAGGGGTCAAAGCATTGGGCCAGCACTTCATAGAATCCTAGAACCATGAAGAGGCCTATATGGCCATCACGTCCACCCCCTTGCTCAAGGCAGGAATCCCAATCAAAGCAGATTTGTCAGAGGGTTGTCCAATTCTCTCTTGAATGCCTCCAGTGTTGGAGCACTCACCACCTCCCAAGGTCATTAGTTCCGTTGTCATACTGCTCTTAACATTTAGGAAGTTTTTCCTAAGATTCAGCCTAAATCGGACTTCCTGGAGCTTGAGCCCATTCCTACCTGTCCTGCATTCTGGGATGACTGAGAACACCTCCTGCTCCTCCTCTGCCTGACAACCTTTTAATTATTTGGAAAGTGCTTTGCTGTTGCTTCCAGGACCTGTTGCCTGCTGTCTTCTCTGACCAGTGAGGGTTCTCCTGTGGGGTCTTGCTGGTGAGATGAGTTTGAAGGATGGGAATCCTCTGCACCCCCCACAAGCCGGGGGGTCACCATTCCTTTATGAATGTTGTCTCTTCCTAGAAAGAGCAGGTATCCCTCCATATTTGTGTGACAGACACCTGGGCGCCTCCTGTTTGACAAGCAGTGCTTGCTTGCACTGTCATCATCAAAACAACTCCTTAGTTTCAGTTCCTGGCCATCAAGAGGAGCCTCCAACTAAGAGGTGAAACTTAGGGTGTCTGGGGTTACAGACGCTCGTTTACCAAGCGCATAAGTGCCTCTGTCACATGTCGAGGGAGAGCCTGGCACGAAGGTATGAAATAAGCCGTTGTCTTTGATACTAGTCATCATCTCTAGAAAAGTATGGGGGACGTTTTAGCAGATACGACCTGCAGCTGTCAACTTGAAGTGCTTTGAGTGAAAAGCTCATTTAATTTAAACAGAAATCAAAAGGCTTGAATGAAGCTCTCTTATGCCTGGGGTTGCGAAAAACATCACACAGTACAGGTTGATCACTACTATCCATTTCAAAGGCGGCTTAAAATAATAATTTCATTTCTGTTTGAAGACTCCTTTGAAAGGAGTCATTGAACCCAGGAAGGCATGTTTTCTTTGTAATGTCTAGCCACAACTCCCAGGTATGCTCGTGAGGAGCTGTACGTGGTGCTTGTGACAGATGCAGGGCGTTTTTTTCAGTTTTCAGGGGATCTGTTAATAATTGCGCCCCGGGCTGGTATTGACAGGCAGTTGAAAGCTCTTCACAGAGAAGTGGTCTTGCTTTGTTCACCTTGGGCGAATGCATTACCACACCTAAGGGGTGGCGGTCCTATTCATGTCCTGGAAAACTCAAAGCCTGCGAGACAGGTTTGGAAATGACTTAAGAAATACTTTTTCTTAAGTCCGCCTTGCATTGAATTGTTCATGTCTGTTCTTGAGGTGGGTGAGTTTCAACACCTGGAAGATATAAGTTATTGTTGTTTAGCCATTTAGTTGTGTCTGACTCTTCGTGACCCCATGGACCAGAGCACGCCAAGCCCTCCTGTCTTCCACTGCCTCCCGGAGTCGGGTCAAATTCATGTTGGCCGCTTTGGAGACCCTGTCCAACCACCTCGTCCTCTGTCGGCCCCTTCTCCTCTTGCCTTCACACTTTCCCAACATCAGGGTCTTTTCCAGGGAGTCTTCTCTTCTCATGAGATGGCCAAAGTATTGGATATATACCTAACTGATTACCTAAGTAGACCCAGAACATGGTAGTTTTGCATCCTGTCTGTCTTTGGAAGTCATAGGTAACGTTGTCCTGTCCTGAGTTCCTAGTTGATAAGGATGCTCTCTAGATCCATTTCAGTCTGGCTTCAGTCCTGGTGATGGGACAGAGGCTGCTTTGGTCAACTTGGTTGGTGATCTTCATTGGCAACTGGGTAAGGAGAGCTTTCTTCCTCTGGCTTTTGCTGGAGGCTCTCAGTGGCTTTTGATACCATTCACCATGGTATCCTTCTGGGTTGTCTCTCTGGGATGGGATTTCGAGGCACTTTTCTACAGGGTCTTCGGACCTTCATTGAGGGGAGAGTTCAGTTGCCTTGGAAGACTCCTGTTTTGTCACCCTGACCTTTGGCCTGTGGTGTCCCTCTGGATTCTGTTTGGTCCCCTGTGCCATTTAACATCTCCATGAAACAACAACATATATCATCCAAAGGTTGTCCGGAGTTTGGAGTCCGGTGTCATCATTATGAGAATGTGACCCAGCTCTCCCTCTCTCTCTCTCTTCCCCAAAGAAGCTATTTTGGTTCTAAGTCAATGTCTGTTGTCAGTGATAGACTGAATGAGGGTGAATGCATTCAATTAGCTTTCCAGATAAGACAGAGGTGCTCCTTGTCAGACCAGGGAAGGAGGGTTTCAGCCAGAGCTGGTTGGGGTTGTGCTTTCCCTGAAAACAGGTTTGCAGCTTGGGTGTGATCTTGGATTTGTCTGAAGCCTGGATGCCCAGGTCCTTGCCCTGGCCAGGAGTGCATTTACACAATTAAAACTAGTGCATTAGCTGTGCTTGTTTCTGGAGAGGTCTGATCTCTGCCTTAGATGGGTGACTATAGAAGCCTGTACCCGGGGTTGCCTTTGGAGAGTGTTTTGAAATGTCAGTGGATCCAAAATGCCACTGCCAAATTGCTGACTGGGGCTGGTTATAGGGGTGTCTCTCTCCCTCTCTCTTGCATACACGTACACGTTTGTGTCTCTCTCCGTGTGTGTGTCTTAGAAAAGCTCCACTGGCTGCAGGTCTGTTTCTGGGTGCAATTCAAAGTCTTAGGGATGACCTAGAAAGCCCTAAACAACTTGGGTCCAGCTGTCTCTCCCCATTACCCTACTAGGTTTTCATAATGGAAAAGCTTTTCTTTCTTTGTCCCACCATCTTTACTGACCCATTGGGTGAGTATGCAAGGGCTGGCCTTTCTCTGCCGCTGCTCCCAGGCTGTAGAACTCCCTCCCACTGGAGGCCGGCCCGGCCCCCTCTTTGCCGTCCTTTCACAACCAGGCAAAGATCTTTCTCTTTTTTTGTAAGGCCCCCCCCCCCCCAGTTATTGGATGGCTGTTTTTTTTTCTTCAAATACAGCTGCTTTTTTTAACAAATGTGTTTTTAGAGCAGTTTGAAATTGGTTTTATCCACTCATTTTTAATTTGATACCTGCCCATCAATATTTTAAAGGAACAAATAATAGGGTGAGACTTTATTCTAAATTTGGAGAATGGGTCGGATAATCTCTCTTATGGTTAGTCTCGTCCTCTGTATCATTCAAAACAGTAATGACAGGGCAAGGAAAAATCGTTACTGTGCTCTTCAGGGTGTGCTGAAGAAAGCAGGATAATGGGTTAGAGCATTGTCTCATAAAATGGGACGTGGTATTGCTGCAGGTTAAACTGCAGAAGCCTCTGGGCTGCAAGGTTGGAAGACCAGCTGTCGTAAGATCGAATCCACGCGACGGAGTGAGCTCCCATCGCTTGTCCCAGCTCCTGCCAACCTAGCCGTTTGAAAGCATGTAAAAATGCGAGTAGATAAATAGGTATCACTACGGTGGGAAGGTAATGCCGTTCCGTGTCTAGTCGCGCTGGCCATGTGGCCAAGGAAACTGTCAAATGCTGGCTCTATGGCTTGGAAACGGGGATGAGCACTGCGCCCTAGAGTCGGACACGACTGGGCTAAATGTCAAGGGGAACCTTTAGCTATTTTCTCGTAACACCTGGGTTAGTCTAGGGAGGCAGGCTTGTTGTGACATCACCAGAGAAAGACAGATCTTGGATCCTTTGAATGAAACAGAGAGACAAAATGCCCAGGGCAAGGGGTGGAGTCAAAGAAATACTTACACATTTCTCTTTTTCCTCACTCGGTGTCAGATTAGTCCAGTTCCTTCTGTTTCCTGCTTTATTGTGCTCGGTGGAACGCTTACAGCCCATTTTCTTTCAACGGGCAGAAACTACGATGGGGTGACGGCGGGGAGGTTGGCAAGTCTTCGGGTCCGAGTCTCAAGTCCAAATCCAAGTCTTTGGTACCAAGTCCTGAGCCTCAAGTTCCAAGTCCCTATTGAAAATAAGGTCCCCCCCCCAGTAAAAAAAGGAGGGACTGGGTGGCTTCCGCGTTGAGTTCAAGTCATTGATAAAAACAGCAACCACCCCGAGTGAAGTCCAAATCAACTCACTGGCAAGACACATCTGACTGGACACAGAGTCCTGTGACTCAAGTCCCCATCTCTGGGTGATGGTTTTTCCGTGTGGTTAATGTGTGTGTGCGCGCGCGCGTGCGTGCATGTGTGTGCATGTGTGTGGAAGATTGCATCTTCTCTCTCCATCCTTCCCCATCCCCCCAAAAAGTAAATAGCTATATTGAATAGGTAAAGGTTGCCCTTGACATTTAGTGTGTGCATGTGTGTGGAAGATTGCATCTTCTCTCTCCATCCTCCCCCCCCTCCCCGAAAAGAGAAAATAGCTATATTGAATAGGTAAGGGTTGCCCTTGACATTTAGTCCAGTCGTGTCCGACTCTAAAGTGCAGTGCTCATCCCTGTCTTCAAGTCGTAGAGCCAGCGTTTGTCCGAATACAGTTTCCGTGGTCACGTGGCCAGCACGACTAGGCACGGAACACCGTGACCTTCCCACCAAGGTGGTACTTATTTATCTACTCGCATTTGCATGCTTTTGAATGGTTAGGTTGGTAAGAGCTCGGACAAGCGACACAAGCTCCCTCCATTGCGTGATTTTGATCTTATGACTGATGGTCTTCTGACCGTGCACCACAGAGGCTTTTGCGGTTTAACCTGCAGTGCCACCACATTCCATATTGAATATGATCCCATATTTAATAAAATATGCATTTTAGTGTTAATTCTGTGCAGCTGAGCTACACTTGACACATTGGAAACAGGCTGCTATTTGAGGAATGGAGAACGGAGCATTGGAGATCAGGGTAATTTGCAATACTATTGTATGTGTGGACCAGATTGTCAGGTGACAAGACTGTATTGTTGTGCTGCCCGGTGACTTGAATTTGTTTCCCCTACCTGAGATTTCATTTATTTGGTAGAAGATGAAGTAATTGTCTTGGGCGTCATGAGAGACACGGCTAAACACTGGGAGCTTCTCACAACCTATCCTCCTCTAGTTTCTAAACCAACCATTTTTTCAAGGATAACTCGCAGTTATCAGTTGAATGATTGTATCTTGGTGAAGTTCAGTCTTAGCAGTCATTGCAAACGGCAGCTTGTTATAGCTTCTGTCCCATTTCTGTGTCATTCTGTTCTTGATAAAATGCAGACAGTTGCTCTGAGAAGGTTAAAATCAAGAATTAACTAGAAGAATTCACTCAGTACTACAAAGCATGTATATCCCTTATGAAAATCTTGCGCTTTGCTATTTGTTGCATACATGCAGAGAGTTGGGGCGAACTTTGCATTTGTATGCGCTCTGAGCTGCCCTCTGGTGGACAGAGAGGGAGATGCGATCCAGTTCTTCAGACAGGATGACCAAGGATGTTCTGATGAGAGAAGTGTATGATGAAAATTTTTTTATTTCTTCTGTTCCAGGTTGTTTTGGGGTGTGTGCCTCTTCCTTTTTCTACCCTTACTTTTTGCAAACCTGTGTTTTCATTTTACATGAAAAAGAAAAGCCTCATTGGATCTCTTCCTTTTGTGTCTCCCCACTTCTCTTTTCTGGCACTCCAGAAGCCCTAAAGAGTGCTTAAAAATACTCCAAATAAAATAAAATAAAGCAGAGACGAGGTAACAGAGAGTCAATCTGTTCCAAAAGCAGACAGTAGTGGACGGGGAAGGAAAATCGTATCAGACTCATGGAGGTATTAGCTTCACATTCGAAACAACGGTATGAGTACAGTGCCACGTATGGAGCATAATAGACCTTCTGTGCCAGAACAGCACAATAAAAAAAGGGCAAGAAAGCAGGTAGGCAAGCCTTGTTTGCCTGGCACACAGAGAGACCCAAAACAACATACAACCAAAAGAACACCAAGAACAACCCGAGAGAATTGCCTCAAATTGTGCCCAACTGTCAGCACCCACACCGCACTGCAGCACACTGAGGAACTGGACGTGTTCCCACTGAAGCAAAGAAAACAGCCCATTTCCCAAATATCACACTGCGGCACACTGAGGAAGTGGACGCGTTCCCACTGAAGCAAAGAAAACAGCCTGTCTCCCAAATATATATACCTTTAAGAGAATATATGCACAATAAATTAACCAAATAACATTTTTATAAAAAAGATCAAACAGGAAAAGCACCTCCACTGCACATATTGGGGGGGGGGGGGACACACAAAAGCAAAATAAAAAGCCACACAAAGCCCTCCTCAAAAACTAAGAAAAGGAAACAAAAAGTAAAAAAAACCCAACACACCTGTTCAAGCCCCTCGCCAGCTAAAACTACTAGAATATGGTGGATATTCCTCTTCCTCCTACCACCCAGTGCTTTTCTTCTTTAATTCTAGCAGGCTGGCCAGGAAATAGCAAAAATAATCTGAAGAAGGAAATCAAAGAGGGGAAGAATCCCCCACAAAAATCCCAAGGAGGCATGTGGGCACAGGCCAGGCTGCCTCTTAGCAGCAAAAATAATTCAAGGGATTGGAAAAAAGGCCTCCCAAAATCAAGGAAATTTTAAGAAAGCAATATTTAAGCAGAATTTTAAAATAATGTGAACAAAGGGGTACGGTATTTTTGTTGTGTTTTTATTCTATAATTTGTATTTAAAAGAGATACTTGGTATTGGATTAATATTTGTGATCATATGGTGGATTTATGGAGGGCCCTTTGTATGTCTAAATGCCCAGTGCCTAGGAAGAAGAGACCCTTATTTCCAGGACAAACACAATGTCCATTCATTGATAAAAGAATGACATTTTGGAAATGGACATTGGTTGCAGTTTCTGCCTACTCTTAGAAGGTTCTTGGTAGGTTACAACCCTTCTTAAATTTCCTTCCAGCCGGAACTTATCTTTAGAAACCCACGTGAATGATGAATTCTCTAGCACACACTTTGCAAAAATTATCCTAGCGGTTGATTCTAAAAAACTTGTGCTTCCTTCAGGTCTTAATTCATCCGGGGCTGCATATGCAGCCTCTGGTGCTTGAAATACTTTTATTGTAGATTCAGAAACACTTGTTCCATGTTAATGATTACTTTTTAAAATGCTGATTTTAATTTTCAGGTCCCTGACAAAGGAGGAATGAAGAGTGCTTCTCTAAAGGATTTATGTCCTGAAGACAAGAGGCGCATAGCAAACTTAATTAAGGAGCTTGCAAGGTGAGGATAAATTCTGCCTGATAATGTATCAGGTTGAGGCTGAGGCTCTCCCTCCAATTACTCTGTTATGAAATGTAAGTGTTCGTGTTTATTAAAAGTGCAATACTAGGCCTTTTGCTGGCCGACGTATTATCAGGGAGGGCACAGAAGAGCGATCTCTCCCTTTGTCCAGCAAGACACTTAGGCCACTGTCTGAGGAAGTTCTGCAGCTGGTTTCCTCTAAAATAGAAGGGTCGAACACTTGTACCATGCTTGGTTCCTGCTTTGTCACCTGACTGCCTTCTTTGGACTCTGATCGTTGTCACTACTGTCCCTGAAGCTTGTCATAGAATCCTAGAATCATGGGGCCTGCCAAGGTCATAGAGTCCAACCCCCTTCTCAAGACAGGGATCCAAATCAAAGGATATTTGCCAGGTAGTGGTCCAAATTTTCTCTTGAAGGCCTCCAGTGTTGGAGCATTCACCACCTCCCGAGGACATGGGTTCCATTGTCGTACTGCTCTAACAGTTAAGAGTTTCCCCCCCCCCCCGATGTTCAGCCTAGCCCCGGTTTCCTGTAGCTTGAGCCCATTATTTTGTGTCATGAACTCTGGAATGATCTTGAATAGATAGAATAATGGAGTTGGAAGGTCCCCCTAAGGCCATCAAGTCCAACCCCCTGCTCAAGGCAGGAATCCCAATCAAAGCAGATCTAACAGATGGCTGTGCAGTTTTCTCTCGAAGGCCTCCAGTGTTGGAGTGCTCACTACCTCCTGAGGTCATGGGTTCCATTGTCGTACTGCTCTAACAGTTAAGAAGTTTTTTTTTGTGTAGCTGCAGCTTGTGCTGTGGGATGAATATCGTGACTGCCTAGCATGACGTTTTTCAGATATTCAGTCTAGCTAGGGTGCTAGATTCTCCTAGGCCCCTGTTATTATTGTGGGGTAAATTTGTGAAGAAACTGTGCACCCTAATGGTGTGCCTGCCCAACCCTACAATTTCTCTTTGCTGTCTGGGCCATGGCAAGCGGTGATGCGTGACTGTCCTATTGGGGGAGATTGTGTCTCCAATATGAATGAGCTACAGTAACCACACTTTGTTGTAAAAGTTGTATGAAATCAATAGGGAACAAATCAATGGAATATACGTAAAGAAGCTAGTGCAATGAAATCAATATGTCATCAGAATACAGCCAACATGCGTCTTTATTAAAATCTACTTATGCATCATTATGGCCATCTCTCACTAAATATGGTTAGTGTGGAGATGATGGATGGATTCCGGTCGAGTAGCATGAAATGAGGGAATGAGAAAATCAAGCCTTTCCGAGGAAGTTTGGAAAAGGGAGGAGATCCTGGTTACGGATCAAGCTGAGCAGGGTTTGGAAGGCAGAAAAAGAAGAAAATACGGGAAAAGGGAAAAAGCGGTAGGGAGAACTGTAGCGGAAGAGAGAGTATGGGAAGAAGAGGAGTCTGTAAGCCTGTTCTTTGCCGCAACTGCTTTTATGCTAAAACGTCTCCAATCCACAGGTTTCCCACCCTTGCTTAGACTTCCTGTTTCCTACTTCCAACTTCCCATGGTTTACACCTCTGTATAACGACCTCCTATGTCATTCAGGAAGCCCAGCAACTGTAACCTCATGAATAGGACTGTGGTTGTCTCGGAAGTCATTCCTGCACAGTTTGTCTCCAGACACAGTTTGCGGGACTGTGTCTATTTCAGAGGTAGAGGCTCCAAGTCTGATATTGGGAGTGTGCTTTCACTCGTTTACCCAACATGTCCAGGGCTGACATATACGATACTCTCCGTTGCTGTCTTTAGTAATTTCTGAAGCAAATAGGAGGACAAACATGCTTCCATGTGAGAGATTACTATTTTGGCTGTTCAATCCAGTCATTCCTTTTCTGTTCGCTTCTTTCTGTTCCCGTCTTGTTGAGTTATGCCTTCTTCTGCTTAATTGTAATTTGCATATATGTGCATGAGCATTTATTTAATGCATGGTTCACTGAAAGAATATAATGCGTACATCAGAACTTAAACTTTTATATTATACAGTAGGACCCTCGTATCTGCGAGGGATCGGTTCCAAGCCCTCACCTGTGGATGCTGAAAAATGCAGATTACTGTGATGCCTTGCAAGATGAAATTCATTCATTCTGCGACTCATGTATTGCAAAAATTTCATCTTGCGAAGCGCAGTACTAACGGTTGTGCGATTTAAAAGAAACAGAAGGGAAAAACTTCCTCTTGCGAGTCACCAAAAAAATTGCAAAACACTTTCGTTTTGCGAGTTTTTTGTTGCATGAGGCATTCGTCTTACGAGGCATCACTGTACTGTATAATGAATGCTATTTTAATAGTGAATGCTGTATGTAGTGTGGTCTCTGCCTCCTTCTAGTGGCATGTTCTGGTAACTTCGTTTTTCGAAATATATATTTTTAGGATTTTTCTTTCAATATGTTTAATATTTTCAGACCGTGGAAAAGTGAATCAGCAGATATTGATCCTGCAGATACGGGGGTCCAACTGTAACTAAGTTACAATAAAAGGCAGATCATATGAGGAGATCAAAGCCTATACAGGATAAACTTGCTTAGCAGTTTTCCACCCACCTCATTTTTTAACCTTCAGAGGAAAGAACAGTTGAGGACTAATTACTAAGATTTCTCCTTTCCTTTTACGTTGTTATCTGTCCTTGAAAAAAGGTCTTTATTGGGACCTACCATTTGCTGTTAAACCAGTGATTTCTGTTTTGTTCAAATCATACGACGCAAATCAGCCACAGAAAACCGCCACTTGTGCAAAAGGTAGTTTATTTGTAAACCAGCTTGTCCACCAAAGTCCCAGAAGCTTTCATTTTTTTTTTATTTTACGTAGAGAAAGTTGAGCAAATATATTCACCAGAGGTTACATTCTCCTAGCTTGGGCCCGGAAGAGCAAAAACAAGAGTTTGTTATTTCCGAACCAGGTGAGCAGTGTATCCAAGAGACAATCAGGGTTCAGCTTCAAGAGTTGGTGGCCAAAATTGTTTTGGATATTTTGTACATGCATCAGTTAAATTCTGTATTTTGCTGTGGCAAATGGTTGCTAGCAAAGAAAGTGCTGGTCATGTTATAAAGCATGCAACTAATTGCACAGCAGGCATGTGCTCAGTCATCTGACCAGCATCATATCAGTTAGCAAAGTGTGCTGCTTAGATATCACCCCATAGTGCTTAAAACACTTTCTGGGTGGTTAACAGTTTAATTCTGCATGGTAAACATTGCCTGCCCCCAGTGAATTGGTACTCGGTTTACGAACCTTGAAAGGATGGAAGGCTGAGTGAACCTTGAGCTGGCTACCTGATCCCATTGGGATTAAACTCAGGTTGTGAGCAGAGCCTTGATTGCAGTACTGCAGTTTAACCACATTGCCGCAAAGCTCCTGGCGGTTAGCGGCAGTTTGTCGCACTGAGTGACACAATGTCATACATGCACGTAGATTGCCAACAGGGTTGTGACTGGTGTATGTAAATATTTACATAGATGCTTGTATTAAATTCATGTAGTCCAGGTTGTTTTGAAGAGAGACGTGGATTAAAAATTAGCAAGGTTAGGCATCCTTCAGTTTCAAGAGACGACGGTAACATGCTCTGTATGGAGGTCTTGGAACAGCGTCTAGTGTGGCTGAGAAGGCCAATTCGAGAGTGACAATCCCTTCCACACTGAAGACAAATGCAATCTGTCCCCTGTCCAGCTCCCTAATTGTGCTGCTTTCGGGACTGCCTCTTGGCCTCGGTCTGCTGGACAACGGTCCCTTCAAATTGAGCCTTGTGGCGCAGTGGTTAAAACACTGTACTGCAGCTAAAACTGTGCTCACGACCTGCGGTTCAAATCCCAGGTAGCCGGCTCAAGGTTGACTCAGCCTTCCATCCTTCCGAGGTTGGTAAAATGAGTACCCAGCTTGCTGGGGGGCCAATGTGTAGCCTGTATAATTAAAAATTGTAAACCGCCCGGAGAGTGCTTGTAGTGCTATGGGGCGGTATATAAGTCCAATAAATAAATAAAATAAATAAAATTGGGAGAGGCCATGATGCACTGCCTTCCTCCAGGCTGAACGCTCAGACATCAAGGTTTCCCATCTGTTGAGGTCCATTCCTAAGGCCTTCAGATTGAGCTTGCAGATCTCCTTGTATCGCAGCTGTGGTCTCCCTCTGGGGCGATTTCCCTGCACTCATTCTCCATCCAGGAGATCCTTTGGAATCCGACCGTCAGCCATTCTCACAATATGTCCAAGCCAACCTAGACGTTGCTGCTTCAGTAATGTATAAATTTTTAATTTTAAAAATTAAAAACGTGCTGGATAATGGATTTAAATAAGCCAAGCTTTATTTTTAAAGTTTATGATTTCGTCCACGTTGTGACTCAACACTTGTATGGGAACAAGGTTATTTTAAAGTCCGGGAAGCTCAAACTCCACGGTTACCTGAATGGCTGGTTGCAATTTCTACCTGACCTTTCTTGGAACTAAAATAGGCAGTTGCAGCAACGTTAATTTTGAAAAGTAAAATCAGCATAACACTTTCTTATACTTGGTTCTCCTTTTTATTTTTAAACCTAATCATATTTTAATGGATATAATTAAAAGGCCCTCTTCAGTGTAATAGGGATGTTAAGCTTTCCTTTTTCTCACCTCATTCACTCTTTTTAAAAAACCTGCCCTAATTTTCTTTTTCATCTGGAAAGAGCGGAAAGAGGGATCTTCAAGGCAGCTAGCTCGGGCATGTTTTTTCCCCCTATTTCTAGGCGTGAAACAGAAGACCTGTGTCTGATCCTCGTTTTATGCCTTGTAGACTGGACAGTGCTTCTTGGATTTCATCTCCAAAAGCTCTCCTAAGCAGAGGTTATTATTTTGTGTCCTGGTGGTTTACAAGTTATACATGCTAGAGATGTAGAGAGAAGGAAAACAAGTCGGATCAAATGTTTCCAGTGGTATTTGGGCAGATTGCATAAGACTTGCCTTCCTGGATCAAATCGAATGTCTTTTCTAGTTATGAAGTGGAGGTACCGTGCCGGCGAGGCAGATTCCCCCCTGGAAACCTTTCAAGCATAACACAACGTAATGGATTTGGGCACACACGCTAATGGTCGTTTTTAACCAGTGCTATAGACCTGTTGGCAATACAGTCAGATAAGGGGACTGGTGTGTTTGATGTTGTTAACTCTTTATGTGGCCAGAGATGCGTAATTCTGCACCATTGATGGATGCAAAGGAACAGGAATCATCTTCCCACTCGCTCATGCCTGCTTTCTGAGCATTGTCTTATCTTCTTTTCCCAAAGCCTCCCATGCAAAGGCTGGGTGCAATGTTTGCATGGAAGGTGTCTCCCATACGTCTGTATCCTCTGTGTCTCCCCTTGAATTGGCGTTGGCTAGCCTTCAAGGCTGCAACTGAAATTAGGATTGCTTCGAATGGCATGTATATTGCTGGTTCCTATGACACTGCTCCACAGTTTGGAAACAGAGAGAGAAAGAGAGAGAGAGAGAGTTGCTCCACAGTTTGGAAACAGAGAGAGAGAGAGAGAGAGAATTGGGGAACGCTAGATCAGCCTTTCTTGACCCGTTTTAAATTTTCTTTTTTTTTTAAAAAAAGTATTTATTAAAATTATAAATCACTCTTAGATCAGCCTTTCTTGACCTGTTTTAAATTTTCTTTTTAAAGTATTTATTAAAATTATAAATCACTCTTCTGCCCACCAGACTCACCAAGGAGTATAGAATAACAGAGATGAACATGTTTTTGAAATCAGAAAACCATTTTAAAAGCCAGCTTTAAAACCAGTTTTTAAAACCTGAGAGCGGTCTTGGCCACCCCCTGGAAGCTGAAGAGGGAGGAAGCCAAGCTTGACTTCCTTCGGGAAAGAGTTCTGATCTACACGGGGTGAGGCGGGTGAAGTGGCTGGCTGGTAAAGTCCTAGGAAAGGGAGACGCAAAAAATGAAGAACTCACCATAGCAGACACCAAGGAAGAAGGTAGAGACTGTCAGGCACATTGTTTCAGACCTTCCAGAGCCAACTGAAGGTTGTGTTCTAGTCGTGCTTTTGGAGCCCTACTTAATGCACAGTTGCAGATCTTCGGGTGGCAAGGGAAGAACCCTTGGCTCCTTCATCATTTTGGAAGAAAGAGTCCACACGTGAGGCGATCCCTTACTCGTGAGCCCTCCAGCTGGGGACCTGGTTTGGCCTTCATGGCTCTTCCTCCCTGGGGGGCTGGACGGTCATCCCACCTCCAGCTCAGCTCCCAAACCCTCATTATCCACAGGCTCTGGCTTCTGTGTCCCCGAGGGTCCAGGACCTGCAAGATCTAGGAGATCTCCCACCCCATCAGGCCTGTCCTTGCTGGAAGACTTTATCTGCAGAGGTGTGTAATGGGAAGGTTCTGCCACTCACCTGCTGGTAGAGCAGAAGTCTAAACCTCCAGATTACAATCCTGGGCGGGTGATACGGGCTACCACTCAACTCCTCTGGAAGGTGCCTGTTTGGTGTTGGGGATCAACAGCTCTATTCCATCCTTGTTGGAACATCTTACGGAAGGCAGCTGAGCACTTGGAACAGCTGTGAGGAATACCAGCAGCTGAGTGTACTTTGGTGAAAAATGTGGCTCTTACTTTCTTTTGAAGAAGGACCACCGTGGAGTTTTCTGTCAAGAGTGTCAGTGCGCACCTAGGTCCTTAATGATTATTGCATTACAGTTGCTTCCAAGAGAGACTGGGAGATGTCTGGCGTGCATGTACATTTTCAACAGTCAGCATGAAGTTTATGTCCCAGGAAGCTCGAATAAGATTAGATTCAACCACCACTGGTCCAGGAAGTTTCTCCATTCTTGTCCTTGGGCTTTGGAGGGCTCTTAGAGACACACACGTGTATACACACCCACACATGGAAATGAGTTTGGGGATTGCTGCATTCTGTTCTTCGAAGGGCTAGATTTGGTCCAGGGGCCATGCTTCCTCTCCAGTTAGGTGGACTCTTGTTTGATCCTGCAAGGCCATGCCCTATACTGTACTATGCTCTTTGAAACAGAGAGATGCTAAGCCACGTTGAGTGTCTTGTTCTGCAAAAACATGGGGATGATGTCTTTGCTGCCAATGGGTACTTTGTTTTCCTCTTCTCATCGTAGTATGTCTTTCCCTGCATGTGTTCCCACCAAGTCTGTCCCTGCAGCAGGAGAACTTACTGAGTTTTCTTGCAAAGGGACGGCTGGGAGACCCCAGTTCAGGTGCCTCGGTTGAGGGGGAGCACGAGCTAGGCATCCTTGAGCGAGTTCCTTTCACTTTGCTTTCATCGGCTTCAGTTCCTAGAGGGGAAAAATTGGCTTTAGACCGCTTACCTCTGCCTCGAGAGACACCATCATCCTAATAGATAACAAGCGCCCTGCAGAACAGCGTCTTCGATGAAGGGGAGAACAACTGACAGGGAGTCAGGGATGTAGAGGTAGAGAATCAAAGGGTGGCAACCGAGCCAGTTTTTGCTAGAACGTCCCGTGATTTCCTGCCTGACAGACCCAGAAATCATTTTTGGCATTTCTACCGCGAGGCGTAAAGCATTAAAGGATACAGTAATCTCCACCAGATCTTGGATAGGCCTTGACATAAATCTGACATAATCTGACAAAGCATGTATGTCCATTTTCTCTGCTGTCTTCTTGGTTACCTGTGAGCTGTTGTATCTTTGAAGGTTTATCTCCTTCGCAACAACGGCTTCTTTCCCAGCCCCGATCCTGATAACCAGACGATCAGCTGAAGGTTTCTCCGTGGTGCATCTGTATTTGCACACCGTCATCCCTCTGTATTTGGCCCGGGCTGTTGCCTTTCCAGTGTACTGTAGCTAGAACTGTATTTACAGTTCCCACTCCAAAGGAAGTAGCTAGTTGGCCCTGTTATCATTTGCTTAAAGTAACACTTTCTTTTTTCCACAAAAGTAACTAAATAAGTTACTTTTCAAACATTCTAAAGGGTGCAAGCTGCTGGCTTGTGTTGCACATTCCACTTTTTTCCCCTCCCTCATCCGGACGTCAGGGCAGGCGTTGGCAAGCCACCGCTCAGGACACATCCCTGTAACTAAAAAAAGTAAATAACATGTTGTACCTCCGACTGTAGGAAAGTTACCTTTTCTCCAGGGTACTTGTAGTGTCACATAACTGTTACTGATTAATTTAGAGAAACACTGGCTAAGTTCCTGTTGCTTAGTATACTCAGTTACCCTAGGGTTAGGCCAACTCAATCAAGGAAGATTTGTTGAGTGAATCCCTCTGTTGGTTCAAATTACTTTAGCATAATAACTTGCAGTTAGAGTAGGTCCATTTGAATCAATGGAACTTACTGAGGAGTTTACTGACCACTCTCCCCCCCCCCCAATTCAGGGGGCATGCTCTCATGGGATTTGCTACACTAAGCCAGAGGATTTTTGGCCGGTGTTTACTTAAAAAAAGGGAATGATTTACAAGTGGCTTCTTACTTATAAAGAGCTGCTTAAGATGCAGGTGGACATGGTGGGAGCTATGGCTGCCCACCACTGAAGGATGTTGGGAGAGGAGATGGGGAGCTGAGGTGTGAGCGGGCTCCGGGGAGTGCCCTCATGTGTACACCATGTATGACCCTGTCCTTTCATGCTGATGGTGAGAGAGAAAAGCAGGTTGGATTTGATTTAAATCAGGATTTAAATTTTCGGGGAGTGCCCTCATGTGTACACCGTGTATGACCCCCGTCCTTTCACGCTGATGGTGAGAGAGAAAAGCAGGGTGGATTTGATTTAAATCAGGATTTAAATTTTTAAAAAAAACACACAATTTTGTTTTAAAAAATGATTTCCATAAAAAGAATCAGTTTTTCAAAATTTAAATAATAATTTAGATCAATTTGATTTTTTTTAAAAAACAATAATTTAGATCAATTTGATTTTTTTTTAAAAAAAATCATTGATGGTTTGTCCACCTTGGATAAAAAGCTTCTTCCAGATGGATGGTTTTTTTTGGCTGCCACAGACCCGCATGGCTGTCCTCTGAGGGAACTTCTTCGAGCATTGGTTCCAGAGATGGTCCTGGTCAGCCAACAGATCATGACTCTTGGGGTTTTTTTTTGTTCTCCTTGTAGCTCTTGGATTGGGCTCTTAGTCATCTTGGCTGGATTTTGGGGGGGTCTCCGTGGGCTTGGTCGAGTCTCTGCGTCTCCAGCCTCCATTTCTTGTTGGCCAAACCGCAGCAACAGTGACCTACTTCTCATGGTGGCTGGTGAGGAGAATGCAAGGGGATGGGAAAAAATAAAAAGAGGCACTTGCTGGCAGATGAAAAAGGCGGTGTGCCAATGAGCAGTCGACGCATCAGGCACTCTGAATCTCTCTCTTCCCCCGCTGGCGCCTTGCTATGAGATTGGGCAAGGCAGGGGTTGCCCCAGTGCCTAAGGCTGGCCCTGATCAGAAGCCATGTTCCCATGTTCGTGCCTTGTCGTCGTTGTCTGATGGCGCGTGTGTTCTTTCATCCTTGCAGGGTGAGTGAGGAAAAAGAGGTGACAGAAGAGCGGCTGAAAGCGGAGCAGGAGTCGTTTGAGAAGAAGATCAGACAACTTGAAGAACAGAACGAACTCATTATCAAAGAAAGGGAAGATATCCTTTTTGTTAAAACAAAAAGAAAGAAAGAAAGGGGAGGGGAGAGAAAAACGAGCACAAGAGTTTGCTGCATGGAATAAAAAAAAAAGCAAACCGGAGAGAAATAATTGTCCTAATTTATAGCTGGGCATAAATCTCCATGTGCTGCCATTCGGAAGCAATCAGAGGTGACTTGTCAGCATGCACTTCTGGCTCATTTGTGCTCGAAACTGCCACCCAGCTGTTCCCAGGATGTTGCTTTGCTGTGAAATAGATATTTGTCAGCTTAAAAACAACAGAATGGAAATTGTGTGTTGATAAAATATAGGTTGCTCCCTCCAACCTTCCTCTCTTAATCGTGTTTTCGGCAGTTCCATACCTGGCTGAGACAGCTGCTGTCAAAGGAGGCTCTGACCGGCTCTCGTTCTGCTTGGGTCTGTTGGTACTCGGTGGTCACCGGCATTGTTGGTGGCGTGGCTCTCTTGGGATCCTCCCCTCGGACCACTGAGTGAACCTGGTGGCTTTGGCGTGGTCCACCTCTCCCTTGTGGATGATGCTGGCAAGGATCAGGCATAGGACTGAAGGCCCATTTTGCCTCTCTCCCCCCCTCAATACCTCCAGTACAGTGATATCTTGCAAGACGAATGCCTCATGCAATGAAAAACTTGCAAGATGAAAGCGTTTTGCGATTTTTTTGGTGACTCACAAGAAAATTTTTTCTATGGCCGTGCTTCGCAAGACGAATAGGAACGCATTAATTAAATTTCAATGCATTCCTATGGGAAACCACGCTTCACAAGATGAAATTTTCGCAATACGAAATGGCTCACAGAATGAATTATTTTCATCTTGCGAGGCATCACTGTACTGTTAAGAGAGAGAGGGAGACTTTTGGAATGGGAAAGGCCTCGGCGTCACACAGTACGCTTTGCAGGAAACACTTTGGGCATCAGGGTACAAGCTCCAAAATTTCTCAAGGAGCAGAACTTGGAAGGCACTTGTTCGTTTGCTGCAGTTCTCTGGCTCTTCCTTCTTTAGTTCAGGGTCCGAGGCTTTGGATTTTGCATGGATGTGAGGTGGGCCCCCACGCTTCGCCCGAGGATGGGGTGGGGATCGTTCTCCTTTGGTGTGTTTCCACGTCCGTAACTTCCATTAATGTTAATAAGTGCTACTGAGCTATCTTGAAGGAAATATATCCCTTTGGGTTTTTGTTTTTTACCTTTATGGGCGAGAGACTATTCGAGCAAAAACACTTCTTTCAGGAGAAGTCTGGGAAAGAAGGCAGAAGGTTAATACATGCGATTTTACACTACATAAAACTCTATAAAAAGTAGAAACATAAAACAAGGACATAATTTAAAACAATATAATTTTAACTACGCGCACACTTATCCATCATACATGAATGATTCAGAATCCTTCACTTACCTCCGATCAGTTAATTTCGGATCTCTTGAAGTCTGTTCTGTGGCCAAGGAAGTGTATAAATGACTTATCAAACTAGAATACAAATGATTGGGGAGGGTTGCTAGGGAGGGGGTTCTGCCAGAATGGGGAACGACAGCTGTTCAGGACATGTTCGAAACAACATGTGCGCGCATATGGGGCTGTTCACCCACCTTGCCCCCTGGCATTTTTATGAAGTTCAGAGCAGGAATGTTGGCAAGTTCTTTGGGGCTAAGGCCCGAGTCTGAGTCTTTATTAAAAATAAGTTTTTCCTCCCAGAAAAAAATGAGAAGGTGGGTGGGTTCTTGAGTCCACATCATTGGGGGGAAAAAAACCCTGAGCCAAGTCTGAGTCAAATTACTGGTACATCTTAAGCCCGACTTCACAGTCAGTCTTGCAATGCGAGTCCCCGTCCGTAGTTCAGAATCTGAGATGTTGAGATCTGGCTTCTGCCATGCTTTTCCCACCTACCTTCGTTTATGGTGCCAGGTGAAATGGTACCTCTGAGACGTCCCCATCAGAGCCAGTAGCTCCTGATGATTGTGGGTATTTGAATGACATGTTAATATACATATATGCCAAGGCATATCTCGGGCATGTTGGGTTTGTTCATATGGGGAGGAAATGCATTGCTCTAGACATCAAGTTTGCGTTGTATAAATATTCATTTTGACAGCATGATTCGTTATGAATGTGGACTCATGGCTTGGTCTTGTGTCATATGCCTGGGGCAGACGTTAACTGGCTGAGATGGAGGAAAAGGGCCTTACGGATCGTGTGCCCCTTGGAGGAGCCTCGTGGCTCAGTGGTTAAATGGCCCTACTGCAACCAAAACTGCTCACGGCCCTGGGTTCAATCCCAGGAAGCCAACTCAAGACTGATTCAGCCTTCCATCCTTCCGAGGTTGGTAAAGTGAGTACCCAGCTTGCTGGGCTTGTAAACCGCACAGAGGGTGCTTGAACCAGCACACTTTTTTTGACTGGTCTGCTGTCCTGTGCAGAAGAGGGTCTCGTTGACGAACAAAAAAAATGGGTGAATCCTCCATGCGCTGTATAGCTAGAGCACAGTATGTCTGTAGCTATGTTCAAGCATTAGGTGTGATAAACTTAATAGAGATCTCCTTGAAAATATGGAGACTTAAGAAGGGCGTACTTCAGAGGCCATGCTCTCATTGGAAGATTGGCTGCCATTTTTCACTGATGCCAGAGAAGGTTTTGACAGGCCATTGAATGTTGGGAAAGATAAATGAAGGCGATCTAATTTTAATCAGGATAGCAAAGAGGGGCAAGGGGTTTAATGGATCGCAATTGTCATGCGGTGTTGTCCCCGCTTCCAAGCAATTTCTGTTGTCTTAGCTTTAATGGGTCGTATGTTTAAGCAGTCTTGGTCCTTGCCTTGTGGAAGTAACGGAACAGAAGAATATCGGATCCAAGAACCTAAGCCTGTTGCTTTAGACTGCCATTGTTTCTATTTGTCTCCTGAATGCCAGAGGCTGAGTGGGGGCCAGAGGCTCCTCTTCTGGTAGTGAATTCCTTAATGAGGTGGCCACCACTAAGAAGGCCCTGTCAATAGTTGGAGGCTTCCAGGCCTCCCTTGGAGTGGCCACCTTGAGGCAGCATTCAGGGTTGATGAAGGAGGTGCAGACCGGATGGGTGGTAGATCTTGGGGCGAGGCATTCTGCCAGATAGCAGAGTCCCAAATGGTCCAGTGCTTTGTGTGTTAACCTTAACACTTGGAACTTGGCAGCCAAGGCGGGAATATCTTGTAGGTATACCCCTGATATAAGCCTGGATGCTGCCATTATAGGGTTGACCATAACAACAGCATCAGTCAAATATATACCCAACAGCATATAGGCAGCATTTTGACTATATATATAAAATGGATAGATCTGGAAAATTTTATGAACTCCAAAAGTAACATCGAAGAAGACCCAGCATTAAAATAATGTTAAGTGTTTAAATTTATCAAAGCCCAGAAATGCTTTTGAAGACGCTTTGCATCTTATTTCACTTGGTTTAGCTGGACTCTTGAAAAACTGGATGCTTATGAGAACAAAGGCAGATTGGATTGCTCTTAGTTGCAGAAGCTGGGATTAACGGGGGTGCGTATAAAGAACGACGCTTTGCCCTTAATGCTGGCTCTGTGGGATTAAACCTCAAAGCCCTACCAGCAAATAAATGCCTGGCAATCCAGCGCAGTCTGTCTTGCAATGCAGCATGACCCTCTGCCCGCTTTTACGTCCCGGCAAGGGCTCTGGCCCCTATTAGTGCCATCGACTAGACCATGAACATCGTAAGACCTAAATTTTATGCTCTGCCAGTCTCACTTGATTGTGCTGCTGGTGCTGGTTCTTCTTCTTTTTCTTCCTCCTCCTCCTCCTCCTTCCTCTTCCTCCTCCTCTTCTCACATTCATTTTATTTATATACTGTCCTATCAGTGCAAGGACTACTGTGGTCAGTTTACACGTTAAAACGTAAAACCTCTGTGGTTCAGTGGCTGTACGAGGCCTGAGCCATTTAAGGATAACTTCCTCCCTTACTTGGACCGAACAGCTTTACTAAGGCCAGATCATTTGTTCTCTTTATTTTAACATTTATAGGTGCTTCTTTTTTTTTACTCCATTCATTGTCCCACAGTCCTTTCCGGCATATCATGATTCATTAACTCTCCTACCTTTGCAGAGTTAGCAGAGGATAGTGTGGCTGGGCTCAAATGCTTTCCTGACTGTCCCGACCATTAGGATCTGGGGTTAGGGTGATAGACTCTTTAGAGTACTGGTTAAGACGCCTTATTTCAAAGGGTTAACTGTCTTTGTCATTTCCAGAGTAGGTCCCCCCATAGTTGTTTTACTGAAAATATCCAGTTTCAGTCCCTATTAGTTCATTAACGAAAAGGACTGCAGTTTTTATACCTTCCATTTCTTGCTTTACAGTTTCTGGTTTATCTTGATTCATACTCCTCATGTTTCATGTTCCAATTGTATGTGTTGTACAGCTTTGGACTTTTCTTTCAGTTTTGTGCAGATAAGCCACCAGACATCCTTTCGGCTTTAATCTAGTTGCCTCATTATTGACAGAGCTATTTGTATTTGTCCTTTGCTCTTCCCCAGTAGCTGACTGAGTGCTTTCCAACCTGGGAGTCTCATCTTTCAGCACTATCTCTTCTTTCATTTTGGACTGTCTCATCCTAGGATTTTCATAGTAAGGAGGGATCAACGGGGGCTTGTTATTACCACCGACCCTTTATACCAAAGACAGAGATCAATGTTGAACATATAAATTAGATGAACGGCAGATAGGTTGTTGGGGAAGAAGAAGGAGCAAAAGACAAAAGTCTTGCCTTGATTTTTTTCGGAAGGACCTGCTTGTTGCTGAAGCCTGTTTCCACCAGCTTCACAGTAGATATTTTTTTAATAAGACAGTGTTTCCACATTAGTTCTGGAAATTGTTTAGTGCTTGTTCAGAAACGAGCATGATCTAACTGGGGAAGGCATTTGAAGCTGCCTGGAGCACATGGGGAGATGCCGTCAACCTGGCGTGTGCCATGGGGCGAACATTATCCACAAAGAG